TATTTTTGCAGCTACCCCTGAGCTTTCCCAGACAAAATTAGGGGGAGAAAAATGGTCTTCAAATTCAACAAATAATAGGCGTACTACATATTATGAAGACAGAAAGTATAAAAAAGGGTGCAGAAGAACGTTGTAAAAACTGGTGGTTAGGACTCTACGCCTAGAGATTAAAAATTGGTTATATTCTTGATTTAATGACAACAAAACTGCAGGTATAATTTGAAACTTTTAGTTTTCTCGTTTTGTCATAAGACCGTAAGTTTAATTAGCTAAGAGTAGCAAGAAAACAGATATTGTCAACAATCAGTTTCATGAAAAATGTATAAAAATTAGAATTGTGTGCTTACAGAGTACAAAAAGTAAAACTTTTGTGAACTGCTTCCCGTTTTTTGCTTTATTCCTCACCTCCTTAGACAACGGCCATTTTCACGTTTATTGTCCCGTCAGAGAGGTGCAAAAGAACCGATAGCGTTTTACCTCTTAATCTCTGTTCAAATCGCCTTCAACGAGGAAAAATTTCGTGAAAAGTTCTATAAAAGTTCTTCAAAGTTTCTCCTTTAAAAACTTTAAATGAAAAAAGCAGATTTTTAAATTAGTTTATAATTTTTTGATCACAGTCTTGTAAATTTTATCTAATTTTTTCTGTTTACTGTCTATAAAAATCAAACAATAAAATCTGCGCAAATTTTTTAACTTTCTTAGTTTTACAGACATTTTTGCCTTGGCTATTCTAGTTCAGTAACTTTTATTAAAAAAAAGTCATTAAAAGTTTCATATTTTTTGTATGAAGGTTTTTCTTGATTATTATTGCCAGTTTTCTGCTTCAGTGTTATTAAATCAAGAATTTGATCAAGCAGTTTTTGGAAAAATAACCTTTTTAAATTTTAACCACTCTTCTTCACCAGTTTTCAATTATACTGATGCAAAATCGCTTAAATTTAATTGCAATTATACCCAAAAAAGTTGGTACTATTTTTATTTTTATTTTGAAGCGGTTTTACCCTAACAGCGTATAAGGCTTAATAGGCCATTGTAAAAATAATAGAAAAAAAACTGGTTTTTTAGATGAACTTTTGTTCATAGTAAGAATTTTTTTTTTGGAAAACAAATGGATGTTTAGTTTTGCTTGACCGTTAGTTTAATATAGGTTTATTACTGTTAGAATAAACAAAGATGATTCAGAACAGCAGATTACGACAGCTTATAACTGACTGTTACTATAGCTTAGACACTGTTTGACAAGGAGAGGGTAGGATATAGTCTAACTTAGTAAAGTAAGCCTTTTTACTCCAAAGCAAAAAGAAAAAGACGTCGTTGGTGTACTATACAATTGGTTTTGGCTGTTAACCAAAGTTTATAGCTGAATATAAAAATAACATAAAACTGTTCCGTGATGTGCATCAAATGAGGGGATGATTCATGCGAGAAAATTCTTTGTTAAAACCCTTCAAATTCAGTCTGAACTAAAGTTTATTAAACTTTCTTTTGTCGGCAAACCAACAAAAAAGCGAACAAAAATACTCGATGAATAAACAGTTTAAAAGAAGACTTTTTTTTTTTTGGGGGGGGGGAAGACTGTTATTCAATTTAGAGTAGTTTCGGAACGTACTCGTACTAATAAAATATTTTTTTTTAATATAAGAGAAAGTTAGGGTTTGGTATAGAAAAATTAGATGAGTTCCTGAGCTATGGCCTTAATCGGGTAGTATTTTCCAGGTAAAAAATATGTCGAAATACTTGAGTTCTTCCTAGACATTGTTCTGAACAGTTTGCTGTCTTTAGTTTGCTTAAGCTTATGTTTAGTTTTTTTTTTTGGCTACTAAAAACGTTGACTAAGTCTAGGCAAATATTTTTGATGTTGTGAAAGTTGAAGAAAAAAAAGAATTTTATTTTTATTTGGTAAACAACTGTTTGGTTACAATTTGGTCTCTAAAAACTGTTTTCCTTTTTTTGGTTGTATACAAAAAAAAAAATTTGTTGAAATGCAGAGGCAATAAATCAGAGTTTGGCGTTAATAATTGTTTTCAATATGTAACAAAAAGTTTTTTTTTTTATCTTTTTATTGATCAAAAAAAAAAAAAAAAAAAACTTGAAATAATAATGTTGAAAGTGCAATTAAGTTGGTAATTGTTATGGTTGTTATAATTTGTGCTGTGACCAGTTTGATTACTTTATTTTTTTCGGCTCAAAATATTAAGCCAAAGTTTGCTAAACCAAAGAATTGGCTTAGATTTTTTATTGAATTATTTGATCACAACTGCACACTGTTTACGGTATAAATGGTTTTTTCTTGAAACTTATTGAAATTTAATTTGATTAAACGGTTTACTGATCGTTTACCGTTTACATATTTTGTTTAAAAGCAAACCCTTTACCAAATTGAGCAATGACTATATTAGAGTAAAATTAGTAAAGCAAAAAAAAAAAAAAATTTATTACCACTAATAATTGGTAAAATATAACAGTTTATGGCTAATAATACTGTATTTAAATTGCTCAACAACAGCATCAAAAGCGCTTCGAATTTATGGCAGCAACAGTTTTGAAAAGCAGAAAACAAAAAAAAAACATTGCTGCAATGTTTTTAGTTTATTATAATGGTGTAAAAATCATATAACAGATAAATTTCTTTTTTGGTTGCCAAATGATGTTGAAAAATGATTCAAACATTGAAATATTTTTTCAAAAATGTATTGTATAATTGTGAACAAAAAGGAGAAAAACTTTTATTGTATACAGAAACTTATTTATAAAAATAAACAAAGTTTTTGTCGGAGAGAAAAAAAGAGCAAAAAAAAAAAAATTGAATTAAATTTTGAGTGTTATTTGAGAGAAAAAAAAACTCACCTCTATTTACAAGGAGAAAAAATAGATTGGCAAAAATTTAATAAGCAAATACATAGGTAAAGATTTGATGTGCCGAAATCAGTTCTCAAACTATAACAGTTGGATAACATTTCACTTTTTTAACCTATTTTTAGCTTAACAAAAACAAACGTTGCAGCTTTATAATGTTTCAATAAAGAAACTATCAAAAGGAGGGGAAAAAAAACCTGAAAAGATTTCTGTTTTACCAATATTTTTAATGTTGTCATTTGCAGTTGATTTGTCTATTTATTAGCTAAAATGATAAGCTTCTCATTGGCTTTTAGTGATTATATAATTACTGATAGCAATAAAAAAAAAAAGATATTGATGTTTAAAAAAATACTGTTCTCTGATTTTTTTTTTGTTTTTTTGTTACTTTAATCAATTTTAATTTACACACAAAATTATAGCCAACAATTTTATCCCTAAGTTTACTACTGTATCGGTATTACGCGCTGTATGCCAAAAAGTTTCGAATAGAGTATTCAGAAAGCATCAAAAAGCAGGTAAAGCATTGGTGTTGAAGAGGGATTGTTTTTTTTTTTGTTACAATCTTACAATGAATATAATTATCAATATAAGAAATTTGATATTATTGTTGGTATTGTTGATTTGGTTGCTGTTTCTGCTGCTGTTTCTGCTGCCGATGCTGCTGGTGTTATTTAAGACTAAAAATTTTATTTTATTTATATTATAAACATTTGAAAAAAAAAAAATTGGATTTTATGATGAAGAAAAATTTTTTGTTGTTTTTATTTCAAACAAATTTTTCATTGATAGAAAGCAAGTTGAAATTTTTTTGTTGATATTATTGTTGTTTTATTGTTGTTGTTGTCGTTGTTTACGTCTGTTTTTCAGCCACCTTAAACGTTTGTTGTTATTTTGGAACAGAAAAACAAATATAAAAATCTGTAGAAACATCTGCACAAAGTTATTTGTAATAATACAGAACCAACCAATATTATTGTTAAGCTTTTTTTTTGGTCTCTTTATTTCTTCTTTTGTTTTTTGTTTTTTTTTTTGTTTTTTTCTGCTGGTTGTATTACGAAAATTGAAAAAACAGAAAACTAACTGTTTTTGTGTTGAGAACACTGAAATGGATCGAATTCACACAATGATCAGTTTTTACCCGGGATGACGAGTTGCTGCCTTCATTAATGGAGCTGTAAAAAATTTTGTTTTCATTATTTGTCATTCATTGTAAAAAAAACAGCAAAAATTGTTGATAATGAATCTTTGATCGTCAATTTTTTCTTTTTGCTGAACTGCTTATTTTATTCAACAGTTTCTGAAGATTGTTAGTTGTACTTTCGTCATAAGGATGAATCAGTAGGGGAGGGGAAAAAAAAAATAAGTTGTGGTAATTTTGAATAAAAGACGGAAGGAAAAACTTTAAGATTTACAAGAATACAAAATCTTCTTTTTTTTTTTTTTTTGGTTCTGTTTTGCTGTTTGTCTATTCCTTTTATTTGTTGTTGTTGTTGTTGTTGTTGTTAAAAACGTTTAATTATTGTTCACTGATTTATATTTGTTTTTAACACTTTTCACCGGTAGATTTATTGAATTTTTCTATGAAAAATTATTCCTTACATTATAACGCCAAACTTATGCATTTTGACTCACCACCACCACCACCACCACCAACATTAATTGATTGCTTTCATTGTTCATTCAGCAATCTGGCAAACCGAACTTAGAACTCAACAAATGTTGAAAAAATTTTTTGCTTCAAAACTGAATCCTTTATAACAGCTTATTTCGTACATCTGTTTCATTCCTAGTCAAAATTGACAATGCAATGTTGAAATTTAGTCGTTGCTTTATCGTTGCTGTTCATTTTTTCTTCTTTCTTTTGCCAATTAATCATTTTTTTTCTCGGGGGGAAAAAAAAGCTGTAATTATACTGTTATAAATTTTGTTGTTCTTATCAAAAGCACGAAAACTTTAATAAGCTATTTTTTTTTTGGTAATAATAATTTTGAAGACTTTTACGTAAACTTATTGACTGTTTCTTTCTTCTTTGAATTATTACAAAAAAAAAAAAATTTTGACAACTTGATATATCGTAAACTATCTGAATAATACTCGTCTGAGTTGTTAGTTTTAAGATAAGTCTTTTTTTTTCTTAGGTCATGCTTCGAATCGTCCTTATCTTTGCAATATTCCCGGTTGCATTCTGCGCTATCGGTGGACTTGTCGGAAGAACACAAAGTACTGCAGTTCGTGGAACTTTGTTGTGCAATGGAAAACCGGAACCGAACGTTTTGGTAAAACTTTACGATGACGACAGAGGTAAGTGTAGTGATATCAGCTAATAAATTCTGCAATTAATTTTTTTTAACTTTAAAAATACGATTACATTTGCCAAATAATTGGACTTTATTGGAAACGTTCAAATTTGCAGGACTAGATATGGATGATTTAATGGGTGAAGGAACCACAGATGCAAATGGAGAGTTCTTGATTAGTGGCTGGAATCAAGAAGTCTCTACAATTGACCCCAAACTTAACATCTATCATGATTGCAACGATTGGATTTGGGTAATTAAAATCTTAAAAGTTTTTTTTTCTTTTTTGATTAAAAGCTACTTTTAAAAAGTTTCACAAAATTTTTGTTGCTTGCAGTTGGTTAATTGTTAATTAAAGTTACACGAGCATACAATTGTTGCTTCTATAACAAATACTTTTGAAGTATTACTAATAAAAGTTTGTTTACCAGTATTTTTTAATTTTAGCCTTGCCAACGTAAAATAAGCATAATGGTTCCGGATGAATATATCACTGTCGGTAAGATACCTAAACGGACCTATGATGCTGGACGAATTGAATTATCTGGTGAATTTGCTGGAGAGACACGTGATTGCCTCCACTGATTACAAAATCGAAAACCTGATTTTAGTTGCTTTTATGTTGTTCGTCAATCGTTAATCAGTAGATCGTTTTGGTACATTGAACCTGTATGTTTTATATAATATCTGATGTATGATGTCTTGATGTTGTACGTGACGAATTGTTACGAAAATGAAACCTTTTATTAGTTGTGTTATTTTGCAGAACACATGACAAGATTTAACTGCTTCAGATATCACATAAAAAACTTACGCAGAAGTAGCTTTTGCTTTTTTTTTTTGCCTAATTTACTGCTATAAGTTGCTTCCTCCAAAACGCTAATAGCATTTTCGGTTTTTTTTTTTGCCAGGGATAAAGAAGGTAAAATAATGGTCAAAATTCACAAATTACTTTATTCGACTAAATTATGCTAAAATAAGCTTATTAGATCTCCCTTAAATGTAAACCTTCGTCTAATTGCTCGCCTAATCAAAAGTCCGTTGTGACTAAGCTTTCTATTTTCTCATTCGGCTGTTTGAAGTGTACTGTTCCAATAAACGGCACGCGGTTTTTCTTTGCTGTTATCACAGTTTATTAATCATTCAAAAACTTCACTTAGATGTGTTACCAACTGCTAAATTGGATTTTACATCAGCTCCTCACTAAAGTGTATAGTTCAGCAACATTTTTGAGCCAAAAAAAATATATATATAGAGGAAAAACACGTGATTGTTGATAGAAAAATAGATAGAAAAAAGTTGAAAAAAACAAACAAGTTGATAGAAAAAAATTGCTAATAGAATGACTGAAAATGACGCCCTCAATATGCTTTGAGATTTTTCAACAATCAATAAAGTAACTTTCCTTTATTTTTTTTTTGCTCAGTTTAACACGTTTATAGTTTTGATTATTTTTTCACATTATTTCAGCTGTTAAATTTAGCTTTTGCTTTTACAAAACTGAAAATGTATTGTTTATTATCAGCAAACTGTATTGCTGCTTTTACTTTAAAGCTAAAAAAAAAA